TGACACGCTTCCGGTGATGTCAGGGTGTGTGGCATATGCAAATAAGTTATGCTAATGACTAGCAGGGCTCTTTTTGTAGCAGGAACTCCTTTGCATATTAGGCGACACACCCCTAATGTAGCCAGTCCTCCAAGAGCTTACCGTAGCCCCTGTAAGAAGAGTTCTGTAAGCTCTTGGAGGATTGGCTACATTAGGGGTGTGTCGCCTAATATGCAAAGGAGTTCCTGCTACAAAAAGAGCCCTGCATGAGTTATGCTAATGAGCTCCTGCACCTCTTTTTCTACGAAATGACCCCTGGCAGGGACCGTCTGAACTCTCGCGCTGCCTTGCCGGTTCTACCGATTAGGCACCACGAGAGAAGGACATCCTGGTTTCACATGTGCTGCTATACCTCTGTGGCGACCGCGTGAACCGTCTCCCTCTTAAAGAAGCACGTCTGCGGATATACTGAACTGTTTGCAATAGATGGGTTTCCTGTGCGCTCCTCATCTGTTGCTGATGCCGCGGCCCTCAAGGGGAAGGCCTGCACGCGCGGTCTTGCCCAAAGCACAGAGGAGGCGTCTGGCATACAGAATGGGGTGGGGCGGGACTACAGTGAGTGGAACCAATACCTGTTAAATAGGAGTGGACCTGGTTTGAAAAGCTGGGTTGTGAGGAGGGATTTGAAGGAAGGAAGACAGGTGGTACCACATATAGGCCCTGGAAGGCACTTCCTGTCATAAGGGGCAGCAAAGGAGACAGGAGAGTTATTTAAGGGAAATAGAATGGGCACAACATATACCGAGCCAGTTTGGTGTCGTGGTTAGGAGCGCGGACTCTGATCTGGGAGAACCGGGTTTGATTCCCCACTCCTCCACATGCAGCTGCTGGTGTGACTTTGGGTCAGTTACAAGTTATTTCAGAGCTGTTCTTTCACTAGCAGTTCTTTATTTATTTATAGTTTGATTTTATTGAGAAAAATGACAGTACAAAATACAGAACAACATAAAAAGTAGAAAAACTGTGAAACTGTAAAACAGTAAAATTTAGCGAGAGTAAAATAGGTAAATCATTGTGCTCTTCGAAGATTACAGTTCGTAGTGTGGCATTTTAACTGTTCCATATAACACTACTAAGTTAGTGGTTTCTTTCAATGCAATTTCTTTAAGTTATCCAAATTATCCAAGTATAAAATATATAGATATTAAACAGTAATGGCAAGGCCGCGCAATGTATCCAATGTGTATACATATGACAGTATAATTTGATACGGGTAATCATATCTTATTCTAGTAGGTAAAAGCCTATAATAAATTTATAGCCATTTTTGAAATTGTGTCCATAGGGGAGGAATAAATTCCTCCGTGGTCAGGTATTCAAGGATAGGGTCCCATTTTGTCATACACGTGGTGCTGATCGGTTTTTGTGAGGCATTGTTTATTTTGTTAGTTACACTTTCCATGAGGAACTGGTCCCATAATTTGCGGTACCACAGATGGAGCGTGGGTGGGTTAGGGTCTTTCCAGCAGGAGGCTATTGATGTGCGTTCTCACTAGCAGTTCCTGAGAGAGCTCTCTCAGCCCCACCTACCTCACAGGGTCTCTGTTGTGGGGAGGGGAAGGGAAAAGAAAGGAGATTGCAAGCCGCTCCTTTAGGTAATGAAGGGCGAGGTATAAAACCAATCTCCTCCTCCTCAATCGGCAGGCACTAGCCTCTTCTGGCCGTGTCTTCCAGCAGAGAACCAGCACATCCGGTAGCACTCTGTGTTCACGTCCGGTAGCATTTCATGTTCACGTCCGGTAACAATTCATGTCCGGAAGCACTGGACGGGTGCTACCCATCCTGTTGCTTACAGCGCGATACAAAATACGGCACAAGTTTTTCCAAACCTACCCACCTGAGTCTGCTGCAGATTTTTGGGGAGGGTTTTAGGGAGTTTGCCTGATAGAAGCAAGGAGAGAAGGGATTGGGGGAACCCACAGCCTTCAGCTCCTCATCACTCACTGCCTCTTCTCCTCCTCCTCCTGCAGGTTCTTCCTCATGTACCTCATCAACAAGGATGAAACAGAGCACACTGGCCAGGTGAGGGGGGGGGGCTTGCTCATCTTGCCAAATGTGGAAGCAGGGGAGAGTCGCCGGCTACTCACCTGTTGCTTTAACAGCCTCTGAACCTGGAGGTTCCCCTTGGTCCCCATGGCCAGTCGCCACTGATAGACCTCTCTTCCATGAATCCGTCTAATCCCCTTTTCAGCCCGTCTGTGCCTCTGGTCGTCACTGCATCCTCTGGCAGTGAATTCCACATTTTAATCACTCTGTGTAAAGAACAGAAGGGCCCTGCTGGATCAGACCAGGGAGGGTCCATCTAGTCCAGCATCCTGTCTCACCCAGGGGCCAGCCAGTTCCTCTGGAGGGCCGACAACAGGGCAGAGAGGCTGAGGCCTTCATAAGAACCTCAGAAGAGCCCTGCTGGATCAGACCAGGGAGGGTCCATCTAGTCCAGCATCCTGTCTCACCCAGGGGCCAGCCAGTTCCTCTGGAGGGCCGACAACAGGGCAGAGAGGCTGAGGCCTTCATAAGAACCTCAGAAGAGCCCTGCTGGATCAGACCAGGGAGGGTCCATCTAGTCCAGCATCCTGTCTCACCCAGGGGCCAGCCAGTTCCTCTGGAGGGCCGACAACAGGGCAGAGAGGCTGAGGCCTTCATAAGAACCTCAGAAGAGCCCTGCTGGATCAGACCAGGGAGGGTCCATCTAGTCCAGCATCCTGTCTCACCCAGGGGCCAGCCAGTTCCTCTGGAGGGCCGACAACAGGGCAGAGAGGCCGAGGCCTTCCCCCGTGGTTGCCTCCTTGCTCTAGGATTCAGAGGATTCGTGCCTCTGAATGTGAAGGTTCCCCTCAGCCACCGTGGCTAGTAGCCACTGATAGCCCTCTCCTCCATTAATCTATCCAAACCCCCCTTTAAAGCTGTTTATTCCTATGGCCATCACTACATCCTCTGGCCGCGGATTCCACATTTTGATCGCTCTCTGTGTAAAGAGGCATTTCCTTTTGTCTTCTGAGCCTCAAGCTGCTCTGCAAAACTGGAAGGGGGGGGGTTGCTCTCCTTGCTGAGGTTTTCCCAGCATTCCCCCCTCCGCCCACGTCAACAGGCCCTCCGGTCTAACCGGCCTCCATTCTCTCCCCCGGCTGCAGGAGTCCTACGTCTGGAAGATGTACCAGGAGCGCTGCTGGGATTTCTTCCCTGCCGGGGACTGCTTCCGCAAGCAATATGAAGACCTGCTGGGCTAGGCGCCTCCCTGCCCCCCACCAAGGGAAGGGGGGGGGACGACCTTCTCTGGTCCACTTCCCTGTCCTCCCCCCTGGGGAAGGGGGGCAGTTACGATGCAGGGTGACACACCCATCCTGGCCTTTACAAAAAATAATAATTCGGGGGGTGGGGGAGGAGCAGGACAGGCCAACACCACCACCCCCTTGCCCCCATCATCACCGCAGTTCTTTCCATCTCTTGTCGCTGACCCCCAAATCCCCCCTCCCTGGCTACCTGGGATGAAGAGACGTGGTTTCCTGCCCTCTGGAGAAAAACGATCCGATTCGGGACTGCTCGGGCGAGCTTGCACCCGGGGGCCCAGTTAGCTTCATACCTGGCCAGTAACTCTTGGGTGGATTTCTGCCCTACAGGGAGGGAGCGGGGGTGGGGGGGGAGGATGTCCATGCAATATTTCCCTTCCTGGGTCAAAGGGTCTCCCTGGGTCAAAGGTGCCCCCCCCCCCCCCCAGTTTCAAGTGCCTTTTATAGACTCTTATACCCCCTAGGGAAAGGGGACGGGCTTTGGTGGAGGGAGTCCAGAGGTCTTTCAGACGAAGAGGAGGGAAGAAGAGGTCCTTTGCTGCTGTCTCTGTCAAGCATAGTGCAATCGGGGGAGGTCGTGGAGGGGGCGGAACGGAGAGAGAGACGGGTCTTCTGGCCCTGCGAGGCTCCAGGTTCTCGGTGTGGGGGGCAACTATGCATCTCTCTCCCCACTTTTGCGATCCCTCGCCGTGTTTCCCCCACCCTTAAAGCTTTGTCTCATCTGTGGGGTTAGTGCTACTGATTGGGGGGGGGCGCCCCCAAATGTATCCCTCTGTCTCTGTGTGAATGGATGGGGGAGGGATGCCGCGGGTGGCAGGGTTTTGTGCGTACTCCTCCTGGCTGCCCCAGCGCCCTCTCCTCCCGTCTCCCACTGTCTGTGTCTACCGTCACTGCCGTAGGAGGTTTTAAGCTGGGTCTACTGTAGGGGGGGGCAGCTGGGAGGATTGACCCCGTTGTCCTCCCCCCCTCCTCCGCCCAGCTTGTTTTCCTTGCCAATAAAACCATAGATTGCTGCAAACGGCCCCCCCGTGAGTCTGTGGATTTGTCCTTGCGTGCAAGTGAGAGGTGGTGGATCGCTAAACGGCACACGTGGGTGCCTGCGCTTTCTCTTTCCGTCTCCTTGGATGGCAGGAGGCCGAAGGCGGGCCGTAGTTGCCTTCTATCAGTGGTTCTCACGGCGTGGCTCACAGAGAGCCACATTCTGCGTCACCCTCAAAGAAAAGAGCCCCAGGACGACTGTATGCCCTATACACAAGCCCACCTGCCCGGCACCTACGATTATGGAAGATATAACTTATTAGCAGAGGTCATTTCGGGGGGGATTGCAGTTCCCCCGGGTGAGGTACGGGGGCGGGGCACATGACGAAGCCCCGCCCCCTGCTTCTGGC